CCTCAAGTGATGGAAAGAAAAGAAATGAAGCTGTTTAGATGACTAAAAATGATTTCATATTCTGGTGCCAGTTGCTCTGTAACAGTGTTTTCACAATGAAAATTACATTTAAGTGTCCTGACATCAAGCTTGATGATATAAAATACTATCTCTCCAACTATAAATCATGAATGTGGTTGTGGATGCATTGGTTATGGGGCCCTGTGATTTTAAATTTTAGGATTGAGCAATGAAATTATTCTACGTGAATGTAAAAAGTAGAACAAAGTCATAGTGTATACAGTATAAGGGAATGAAATTGATAATACTTGAGTTGACTTTTGCCCCCCCTTACAGCAAGAATTACTGTAGAGGTTGCACAGCGTAGTTTTTTCCTCATCTAGGGAATCACTACTACAGAGTGCTGCAGGGGTGACATTTTCTTTGTTAACATTGCCCTGATTCCTTCGACAAAACGCCAGTGGCATTTTTCCATTGGATTCTTGATTACTGCAGGATAAAGCTCAGTGGCAAACACGTTTATGATACTTACATGTTTGTTCAGCAAGATAATGTTCACAAATTAACACCACTTTTATCATTATTAAATCCTAAATGCGATTGCCAGAAGTAAAAAGCTAACATTAGGCTCTAAACGACCAACACTTCAGTTGCATGTCTTAATGTCGCCACCATAATGAGAGGCTGTAAAGCCTTGTTTGTTGTAATGACATTCTTAAGTCTCAGTGAGCCACTGGTTAGCAGCTGCCTTTCTTAAGTAGGCTAAAAGCTTCAAAAGTCACATTAGGGTATTTACTGGCGTATTTTACGTCGCAGGACAAACCGTGAAAGTCTCGTAAGCTTGTGTTAACGACAGACCTTATTTAAGGCATCAAACCAAAAACCCATTAAAAAACCCTGACTTCAAGATGAGGGAACCACACATGCAAAACACTAACTCATGTCCACGCTTAAGGACTCCAGCAGCACTCTGTTGGTTGTAGATTTATGTAATTTTGAAAGTAACTATCTTGCCTTTTTTCATATAAAGTAAACCCATACAATGCCTGTTTCTCATATTAACAACTCATTGTGTTTGCAGATGGATGAAGACGAGGAAAGGAGGAAACGGAGACGAGAGAAAAACAAGGTAGCAGCAGCCAGATGCCGAAACAAAAAGAAGGAACGGACTGACTTCCTTCAAAGGGTGAGTTCATGACACAGCGTTGCATACTGATGAGCTGAGGCAAAGCAGCTCAGAGTGTTGGCCAAGAATAGCCTGACTTCAGTCAACCTGAACAGCTGATTTAAATCATACAACCCCAACGCAATCAGGCTAATACACCACTGCAGCTGCACAAGTTAAAGTCAGGGTTTTCAGAAGTCATAAAAACTGACAAGATTAATGACTTAAAGTACTCTGAACAATGTATCTGTCCAGTGGTATCTAATTCAACATCTCCGTCCAGGAATCAGAGCGTCTGGAGATGGTGAACTCGGACCTGAAGGCCCAGATCGAGGAGCTCCGTCTGGAGAGGCAGCAGCTAATGGTGATGCTCAATCTCCACCGGCCCACCTGCATCGTGAGGACCGACAGCGTCAAAACACCCGAGAGCGAGGCCAACCCCCTGCTGGAGCAGCTGTCCACCGACGCCAAATGAAAACCAGGAAACCAGGGACGTGGAGTCCCTGACGCCCAAACTAGCACCACCATGGCAGCCATTTAAGTGAAAACACAACTGCCAATACATTTCTAAACAAGCACTTGAGCTCCAAGCTGAAGACTTTATGGAGACTCTGCCCAAAGACCTGAGGTTGTAGGGCTTCCTTAGTACTGCTACATGAGCTGGCTCTGTCCATTGGAAGACTGGAAATACCCAGTTTCATCTCCGCATTAAGTGTTGTTGTTGACACCCGCTGTGCCTAGTTGTTACTTCAACCATCTCTACATAAAGGGACCAATGGAAACAGTAGAGTACGACTGGAAACAACGCTGAGGAAACACACTAATATCAATATGGTGCTCTGTTACAAAAGCCCTGAGTAGATTGTGTGGCATTGTTTCGATGCAGACGCCCACAAAGGCTTAGTGTTCTGCAGTTTTCCTTTGTATGCTAGCTGAAATATACAGGTGTAGAGTTTTTAGAATACAATACTCAATACAAGTACACCAGACGGAGTAGAGTTTTTTTTTTTTGTTTTTGTAAGGTTGATTTCTATACCCTGCCTCGACGATGGCAGATACCGGTTGATCCGATTTGTGGTGACGCTGGCGTCATGAAGAGCACATATACACAAAATGTTTACACCCTCGTTTTTTGGACTTGTCTGTCCATTATTGTACTTGTTTTATACTGCTTTGTATACATAAACATATATGAAATGCTTGTCAATCACTTGATGTGATTTTGTCTTTTCAATCTTTCCAGTCTGCGTCTGTCATGTTGCGCTGTCAAACAGCTGTGAAAACAAGCAGAAACCTTTTTCAGCTGAGCAGTATTTCAATGTCTGTTCTGGACCTGTATCTGCTACGTATGACTCTGTTACCCTGAATAGATTAAATTTTATTTTCTAACTACAACAAAGACCATGTCCTACTTTTTTTTAAAAACTCCATCAGACGTGCAGTATCTCAAGTTTCTTCCAGTTCCTCATGGTCATGACTATCAACTATCAAGTGACAAAACGTTGTGAAATCATGTTTTCTTTAGCTGAGGCACGTTGCCAAAAATAAGGGTTTTACTTTCATTCTCAAAACTCAGCAAAAGTTGTTCATGCGCCATGATTATTACGGCTCATTTTGTTCAGAGCTCAGCAGGAGAAATGCCCCGCATTTGTAAACTTGACCACATACAGCTCCAATTGTTGTTGCCCCTCAGTGGTTACCAAATTTTACAGTTTATTTTAAGCTTTTGCTAGTTTATTCAAGACTACCTTAATGCACCCTAGTTGTTAAAATAATTGTTGACTCATATAACTTGCGTTTTGATTTCACTCTCTTTAACCCCCTCACATATTTAAATCTTTATTTCTTTAAAGAACTTTTTTAAAAGAACCCTGAGTAGCATTGTTTTTAGTTTCTGTTATACAATAGAGGAGACTGGGGTTGGCTGGCACACTTCCCCCTCTCCCCTATTTCTGTGGCGCAATTTATTATAATATTCCAGCAAGCTGCAAAACAAAGTTTATGATCTCAGCTATAAATAAATATGTTTTAATGTACACAAATGTTTTCTAAAATTGGGTGATTCATGATTGAAGTCATATTGTCCATTTGTGCCAACCAGCCTCATTACTGGATTGGTTGGCACATGTATTGTTACAAAAAAAATGAAGCAACCAGGGCGCCCTCTAGTGCACCTGGTAGAGTGTGCACCCCATTTAGCTTGAGTCCTCAGCAGCAGCACAGGGGCATCTATGGCCCCTTTGCTACACGTCATCCCCTCTTTCTCCCTCTTTCTTTATCTAAAACCGTCCTATCAATACAGGCATAAATGCCCGCAAACATAATCTTAAAAAAGGAAAAGAGGAAAACAAAACTTTTTGAACATGTAATAGGAAATCTGCTCAGTTTTAAAACCAAACACTTTTAAGCAATTCACCAGTAGGACTGTCTGATTACTTTTGCCACTGGCCATTTAAAATAATTATAATTAACTTACACATTAACTAAAGTAGTTAATAATGTCTCAAATAACCCAACCAAATATACATTAGCTTAACACATGCCTTCCAACCCCCAAATCATTATACAACCAACCATGCTCACATTTTACCCAACTGTGATAAAATTGTTAGGCAGCTACCATCACCCATCACAGATGTTCAAATCTGACACCAAAATGTAGCCTATTCCCTTGATCTATTAAGCAGAAGCAGTGTTGTGAAGGTTACTTTGAAATATAGTAGGTCACAGATAACTAGTTCCCTGTTAAAAATGTAGTAAGCAATGTAACTAATTACATTTGATTACTTTTCTAACAAATGTATTAAACTGTGCTGTAAACCTGAAAAAAAGTCTATGTCAAAAGAAGGCAATCCTGCACAGTGAAAAGATGCAAAGCAGCAGAATGAATGTTATGTTCTACTTCTAAAGTTCTTACCAAAAATAAATAAATTCAGATGCAACCACTTTATTAACATCAATATTTTGATCAGTATCTGTAATTCACGTAACATGTAACTAGTTACTCCCTGACACTGACTAGGAGTAACACATCTCCAATAACTATCTAAAACAATTTTATGATGCATTTAGTCCATGGGCCACTTTTTTCCTTCCAGACTACAAAACTGAAATGCTACCCTCAAATAGCCAGTGACTTTCAGACAATTTAAGATAGTAGATGAGTGCAGGTCAAAAAAATAAAAAAAAAATAAAAAAAAAAATACTAATACTAATTACTACTATAATGCAATAAAAATCATTGCTGAAGGACGAACACTAGAACCAGCTGTGTTGTACTGTAGTGAGTATCTCTCAGCTCAGACTGCGGTCAACAGCTCCATCTAGTGGATCATTTTGTGAACTGCACTGTAAAAGTAAATGCAATGAACGATTTCCCCCAGTTATTTATTGTTTTTTCTTCCTTTTTCATTTTTCATCCGTATTTTCCTTCGAGAATTTGACCTATCTAACAACAACCGTTGGTTACCTGTTTTAAACGTTCGTCTTTTTTTAACACGTTAATATTATACTTCATAAAATGGCTTAACTCGCTCATGCTGGCTGCTGTTTTAGTTATTCTGAATATCAAAGGAAATTTTACACGCCTATTAAAATGAAATGTAAATGTTTGTTTGAAATACCGATCCTAATTATTTTTATATTGACCGTAAAGACGTTGGTCTGCTCTAACGGGCGCCTGCGTCATTTTGGTCGACGAAATAACGCTAATGGTTAGCTAGAAGATAACCGTTCCTCGCTTTAATTGGAACATAACTTTGAGGCTTCAACAAAGTCATGTTAACTACTGTGAACTCTTTAACTCGATATAAATTCTGTTTTAGTTGTGTCATACCGTGTTTCCACACTGTTTCGGCTGTGAGGAGGTCAAGGAGGAGCAGCAAGAGGAAGAGGAGCAGCAGTCAAGCCGAGATCAGATGGAGGACAAGGGGAGGCCAACCCAGGGTCAGGGGGGCGACGGTGGTGATGAGTGGGATACTGACCTGGAAACAGACAGTAGGTTAAAGTGACCATACTGTAATAATAATGATGATGTATAGTCGTCACTCACCTCGCCTCACTTCCTCATTTCCCCTTGTATTGTTCCCGTCAGTGGTCAGGACCTTTCCAGTTTCTTCCTTCCTGCGTCACTTGGATGAAGTCAATGTCAATCTGAATCACTATGCTATGGGCCGCAAGTAAGGCAGCTTCAATCCCTTAAATTAGTTTATACACTGCTCAAAAAAATAAGAGAACAGTTAATCATCACAGTTTAACACCAAGTCAATTAAACTTCAGGGATATCCACCTGTCCATATAGGAAGCACAAGTGATTCTGGATCAGTGTCACCTGCTTTGGTGCAAATCAAAGTGACAACAGGTGCAACAAAGAGGCAAAAGCAAGACAACCCCCAAAAAGGGAATGGTTTTACATGTGGTGTCCACAGACAGTTGCTCTATCCCTATCCTTCCTGACTGATTATTCTCTAGTTTGGTGTTCTGCTAGTGTCCTCGTCACTCCTGGGTAGCATGAGGCAGTACCTGTAGCCCAGTCAGGTTACACAGGTCGTCCAGCTCCTCCAGGATGGCACATGTTCCATAATCCATCCATAATGACCACTTTGGCGTGGGTCAGTGATGGTCTGGGGAGGCATATCTTTGGAGGGTCACAAAGACCTCCATGTCATAGCCAACGGTGCCCTGACTGCTGTTAGGTAGCGGGATGAAATCCTCAGAGCGCTTGACAGACCTTACGCTGGTGCAGTGGGCCCTGGGTTCGTCCTGGTGCAGGACAATGTGCGGCCTCATGTGGCCAGAGTGTGGAGGCAGTTCCTGGATGATGAAGGCATTGATGCCATTGACTGGCACTCTTGTGCCTCTGACCTAAATCCAATTGAGAACCTATGGGACGTTATGTATCTGTGCATCTTCTGCCACCAAGCACAGCTACAGACTATCCAGGAGTTCACTGATGCCCAGACACCATCCATGTGATTTTGAATCCAGCCCTCAGTGGGTTGATGATTTTAGTTTCCACTGACCATTGTTACGTCATTTTGTTCTCAACAAGATGCAAAGAGCTTCTACTTTCATCATTCGTCATCTTCTCTTTTTAGCAACCTTTTTTTTTTTTTAAACTAAGCACAAAATTAAGTTATTTGTCAGAAAATGTTTGGATAACTGTAGCTTATCAACATTGTCAGGGAATTACACATTAAGATATGAAATATAAAAATGCCAAAATACACCTAAGACATCTTCAAATAAACGTTAATGTAGTCTGTTATTTGATGTTGTTCTTGTAAGTTACCAATTGGACTTTGTAAATTCAGTAGGTCCTCCATTTCTGCCATACAAATCTCAGAATTTAATATTTTAGCAAAATAAAGAGCTACTTATAAGGAGGTGGAACTGACATCACAAACCCAGTGTCATTGTGCACCACTGACAGGTGTATCCTAATAACTCCCGCTCCCCTCTCCTTCCACTGTCGTCCTTAACTCAACCCAATTCTGTCCAGTGTGAATACTTGAACCTCTGACACCAACCAGCTGCACCCACCTGAGCATGGCCAGCTGTGTCTGTGGCTGGGCCACGGGGTCCTCCGCCTCATTCTCTCCATCCAAAAATAATCTTCTGGTATGACAACAGAACAAGAGGAGGAAGAAAAAGAGAGCTGGCGTCCATATCAAAGGGCCGAGAGGAGGGAAAGAATAGGGCCAGATGCAAGCTAGTTGTTCGGCCACATTTGTTAGCTCTGAATAAATGGCCTGGAAAAGAAAACAGCACGCTTATGAATATGCATGTGCAGCATTACTTATGCAGGCCCTGCAGAGTGGGATTATTAGGGGTGAATTGTCTCAAGGTGTGATATCCAACAGTGCAATCTGGTTCTGTCTGGTGGCTCCAGTGGTAACCACAGAGGGGACAATGACCAGATGCACCGTCTCACCTGCACCTCATTATTGAGTCATGGGTAAACTGCTTGACATCTAATATCGTTCGTCAGAAGGACACGGGACGATGTGTAAGACTAACATCCTGTTTCAGTTATATCCTCTTCTTCTTCTTCATCATCGTGATCTCTTCCCCCTGTGGATCCTCCAGAAAGTCTTCTTCAACATGGTGGCTGACATCTACGTATGTCTGATTCAGGGTGCGTTCCGAATAGCATACTTTTTCCTTTTGCTTTTCGTAGGTACTGCAGCTGCCTTTAAAAAGTACGTACTGTTGCATGTAGTATGCACACAGTTGGGACATAAGTCTTCCTTATGACATAACGCCCTGAACTTTGACCCTCTTACTCATATATCCGTTGCCATGGAGATAACAAAATGCCGCCAGAGATGGAGATCAACCCAAAGAGATCTGATGTTTTTTTGTAATGTGTAATAACTGCATATATTGTAGATTTTAAAAGTATTATAGTCACAATAGGAAAATTACATAGCTAATGCTGTCAGTATTACTCAATGAAGAGCTGTGGTAGCTGTCAGAGTTGAAAACTCTTCCAACTCTCTTCTTCATTATCACCTTCCTCTCTGGACGTTCTCCTGGATCCTACAGGAAGCCATTTGATTGCTCCACATCCTTCAAATTTTGTCTAGAAGGGATGGCAACTGGCTGCCAGAATGGTACCAAGATCCAGGTCCCACAAGATCATTCAAACTATGGTCACCATTACAATTGGAAATGTTTGCTTCAACAGTTTTCTTTAAAAGAGCTTTAGTAAAGACATGTCTCTTTTTGCTAGAGTTCTCTGTGAAATGATAAAACAAGTTCTTAGCCTGATGTGAGTATGGCCTCCGTCTTCTTCTTCCTGCATCTTGGTAAAAAAATTAGGCAAAGACATTTGTCTTGAAGGAATACCTCACCGGATATCAGTTACTCACTACATGTTATTGATGTAGAGAACTTTTTCTTCATGATGAAGAATCCAAAAACAGAACAGTTCTTGCTGAATCGAAGTCATAGGGGGCTGCATTTAACAACAGCAAAACAATATCAAAGCATCTGTTACAAATGCTTACACAACTTGCATTGTATACTACAAGTCCTGCTTTTCTAGTCATATGCTCAGTACTTCCCAGACAAACAGCCCCTTCTTGACGAGGAACTGAACTCAAAGTGAAACTTATCTATGCTCTCTTCAAAGCAAGACTCCATTCATAAGAACATTAAGTTTAATTCGCTGAACATGAGACCTACTGGTCTACCGCTGCCTTGATCAGTTAGTTTGTGTTATTGTTTGAGTTTGGTGTTTTAAAGCAGTAGTTCTAAACTGGTGCAGCCACAGGGTTCAGAAGTCATTAGTTCAAGGTCCAAGGAGTTGAACAAATTCAGCATCATACTTGCGTGTGGCCATGTTGTCAAGCTAGTTTTCTGTCTCTGTTAAGTAGCTGTATGTTATTCACTCATTTTACAGCAGGAAACAGCACCTCAAAATAAAAGCGTTGTGCCGGAAATTCACTGTACTTTAAAATACAGTGTTTTTTACGAACTTGACACGTTTGCAAGTCACTTGCGGTCCATTAGGAATTAACCTGCAACCCAGTTTTGGACCACAACCCACCAGTTGGGAACCACTTTTTTAAAGGGTAAGTTTGGATTCACCCAAGTCACACAAAAACAAACCATCTAAACAATCAAGGAAGTGATAGACCAGCAGCTCCTGTGTTCAGGGAGGTAAAATGACAACGAAGTCTGGCTTTCAAGAGAACAAAATGGTCATTTGGGGGTGAAGTTTTCCTTTCACACCAACAATAAGTTGAACATTTGCTGTTTGGCTTAGAAAAAGGTTTGCAAAATTCCAATATGTGACACTGTAACTCCAACAAAGTTATTATTATACTGTATATTATTCAGAGACTATCAGTTTATCAAGGCCCATAAAACTTACCTTATTTGAATGAGATTCTTGTGGTGAACATTTAGTGAATTTCAGTCACATTGTGTAATTATAATATACAGGATCCCTCTCATAACCATCAGTAATGTATAAAATATAAGTTGTAGCTGAGTCCAGATAAAAATTATATAAAAAGCAATACAAGTATGTAGTTATGCTTTTGATTAGTTTGTCCCCGGCTGTGTTCATGGGGGATGTGTACAGAATTATCTAATAGATGTAAAACCACGACAGGATGTTAGTTAGAATTCGTTTGAACATGCATACAAGGGTTGCTCATTTGACAAAATGTGTTAAGATGTTCCACTAAATGAAGAGTACTCTAATAAAACCTAACAGGATGTCTTCAATAATTTAAAAGTAAAAGTGTTTGAGAATAAAAATATAAATGGACAGTGTTGCTTGTTAATATTAGTATCTCCTTAAACCCAAAACCACACTTTTTCAATTGGATTAAAGACAATTCTTTATATAATGACACTGTTATAATTAGCGATTTAAAAGAGGAAAAATAACAGAATAATTTAGGTAAATTACCTCTCTGATGTGGCTTAATGAAAACAAACAGCTAGCTGCCAATTTCTAATGGGCCATCTTTCATCTGAATGGACACAAAGACTTAAAACCCACATCTTATTGAGCAGTCCAATTGGAAATTCACAGATTTGGCCAAATTTTGAAGACGAAACAAAAACCTGCCAACAAACCCTTCAGATATCTATGCACCCACTGGCACACGCTGCCAATTAACATGATCTCAAAAGCGCTAATGGAATCTTGAGCGGTAATAAAAGTAAATAATTAAATTAAAGGAACCCTTGTATCATTGTTTGCTGTATTCAGGCCCATTAGGACCTCCAGTATTCTCATGGTAATCTAATGTTTTGGGTTTTTTGTGTCCTCATAATGAATTCTGTGTTTTTCCTCCAAACAGTGTTGTTCAGACATTTGTGTAGGTGCTGGCAGAGAAACAAAGACGTACATTAGGACCCATTGTCCTCCGTGATTATTAAAGTAAACAGAAATACTGAAGGGGCATCATACACAGCTGCACACACTTGAGCCTGTGTTTGTGAAGTGGGAGAAAGGGCCAAGCAACCCTCAAGACTTTGTCAGAGACGATCCCATTATTTGGAGCTTCTCAAGAGCAGAGCGGTGGGCTGGCTAATGAGGCTTTGAAGATCGGTCTTCGGTACAGAATTCAGCCGCAGCAGGGAATTCAGGAGCAAAGCAGATTTGGCACGAGATGAAATGCTTCAGCCAGGGTCGGCCATGACAGCGTTCACGGCCTCAGCTTTGTGCTTTTATTTTGCCGTGTGAGTCTTTTTCAAAAGGACAAAGTCCATTTCTAGAAGATGAAACTTGAGCTGAAATGTGCT